AGTTAGGATGGACATGTCTCGTCTGTAAAGATATGTAGGATTCAAGCTGCTAGCTGCAAGTGTACATATAGGAAATGTCCTTTTGCCCTTCTTTAAGTACAGTGCACTTTAGTATACAAATCCAGTTAGACAAGTCATTGCTGTGAATAAATTTAAGATTCAACCCTCTACCTGCAAGTGTATATATAGGAAATTTCCTGTTCCCTTCTATAAGTCGACAAGTACAGCGCATTCTTATATAAATCCAGATAGACAAGCCTCTGCTGTGAAGAAATGTAAAATTTAATAATCCTCCTAGGTAAGCAATTCATCTTTAAAAACCGTCAATTCTCTCTCAACCTGCAAGCTTTCATCTCATACGTATCATACTTTCATAGATTAGAACATATTATAGCAAAAAGGATGGATAAAATAAAAAACACATAGGTAAATGGGGAAAAATAGCTGAAACGCTGAAAACATTGTAGAGAACAATTTTGTCTGTTATTCAAATATGTTATCATTATTCATTGTTTTCTGGTTTTATTTATCTTTTTCTGTGTTCTACATGTCCCTTCAGTATAAGTTTTTCTGTGTGTGTATCTTATGTTTGTGAAAATCAATAAAAAGAATGAAAAAAAACTAGAAAGGCCAATATTTGCTTTGGAGCAAATACAGCGATGGGTTCACCACATTTTACGACATGGCAGGGAAAGAATGGGAAACACAAGGGAAAACAATGATTTACATTGATATAACTATAATATGAAGTAAAATACAACTAAAACAACAAGTTGGATAGCTATTCCCTACTTTATTGGTTAGGATTTTTAATTGCATAATGCAAACTGTTGATTTTCAAAATAAAAAAAAAAACGTCCATGCCCGGCATTCCAATGCTGGAGCAGGAAAGCTTGAAATACCTACCAAAACACTTGAATACAGACAAACTGTCAGTATGGAAATGCTTCTGTGCAGGTGTTAATCAAGTTAAATCCCAACAGCCAATCAGCAAGAAGTATAGAGGAAAGCTGCATGCCTATTGGTTGATGCCCTGCATTCCATTCTGATGACTCATGCCCAAACGTGGTAAACAAGGCAGACTAACACAGTAATACATTTGCTATAACACAGCCAAAAAACTCAAATAAAACCATTCTAAAAGCCTGTATCACAATAATTTAAAAAACGCCTAGGGGTATTTGCCCACTGTACCTCCATACCAAATTTCAGGACCTTAGGCCCTAAAATGAAGAAGCTGAATCCATTTAAAGATATGGCAGGAGGAGGAGGAGGAGAAGGAGAAGAAGAAACATCAGAAAAAGCAATATGGTTTCACCACACCACTTCGTGGTGTGGTGAACCCATAAAAAAAAAGACATGTAAGATTCAACCAGCTAGCTGCAAGAGCCCAGAAAGGTCCCTCAGGCTAGATACGCTTATTAGAACCCTGATGTTGACATGGCATGTCCTTGTAACCAATAACACGTGTTAACTTTATTAAAATCTTATTTTTGGTAACCTGCGGAACACCCCGGAGTTTGAGGGGAAGTAATTACGGGTTGGGGGTGATTTTGATGAAATGTATTACTGTAACCTGTCATGTCAACTTACACCTAGATAACGCTATATGACAGCTACAGGGAACAAGCAGCGTAAACCATGATCCTGCAACTTCTAAGTGAGGTTCTAATCTAAAGCACCATTAAGCAATAAGAAAATGGTTTTCTTTTCTATTTCATGTCGATTCGTAACTACATCATTATGTAAATTACTGTAATTGCGGCGTGAAGAAATGAATTACATCTGCGTTACATCACCGATAATGACACGTTCTTTTACTTTCCTTGGTGTTATTACCATTATTATCATCATTTTCATTTTCATTGGGGTGGGCCAACTAATCTCTCTTCTTAACCAGGGGCTGAATTGCGAGAAGCGCACAATTTTCGGGGCTTAACCGCAATGTTATATAAGGACAGCCTATAAGCGCTCTAGTGACCTCAACACGATCGTATACATCATTGCCCTAGGCGCGGTCATATGACTGTAAGATTTGAACCACTCATACCGGAAAGGACCCATATTCTTTTCAACAACTGTAACAACTGTTCTTTAACGTGCTCGATGCATATCTCCTCAGACACGGGACATCCACTCTTAGTCAACAACCTTTTCTTAATGAAGATTTACCACATTTGTGGAAGGGTTGACATAACAGGTGACTATCACCTCTTCAAGATGTCAAACCTGAGACCAGACCGTACTTCTGAACCACTCACGCCGGGAAGGTCTCCTACTCTTTTCGAAAAGTGCGGTGTTCTTTAACGTGCGTAGGGTGTGGCTCTTGCAAACACAGGACCTCCATTTAACGTCCTATCCGAGGGACGTCCCTAACCGAAGCTAGGTATTCATTTACACCTGAGCGAAGTGAGGAAAGTCGTGTAAAGTGCCTTTTCCAAGGGCACAAGAAAGATGGCATCGGGCAGGATTAACCCTCGACCTCTTGAGTCTGGCCGAACGCGCTACCGCTACCCCACACGACCCCACAACCAACCTTAACCACAAGTCCACTTTGTCGTGGTAATTTTCCATGACAGGTCCTAACAGGATCAGACAAACCACATTAGTACCCGCCGAGTGGGAGTGAAGCACACCAGACTTCATTCATCTCACATAGACGTCCCAGCCACGACCAGTTTTACATTAGAGGTTCTTTTTTTCTCTCAACAATGTACAATATTCAAATATTACAACATGTACAGACATTTTTGTTAGAATCAATTCGTTTTTGTAACATCTTGATCAATCCTGTCAGCATATATATATATATCTGTATCATTTGTTCATCGATTGATTACTGTATTCAACAATTTCTATATGTTTATTCGTGCTTTGCTTGTATGTATTATGTATTGTCTGGTGGCGACATGAATATAAGTGTGCCGCCACCGCGTCTTGTCATTATATGTTTCAATAAAAAAAACTACATTCTTGAGAGTGCGTGTGGGATACTACTGTGTGATGATGTTCGCAATCTCTGTTGCCGGTTTTACACTGAACCTAAATCATCACAATGAGTTTTATATAGGGAATCTGACAGTTTTGTTTGCGTTGAATGATGTAGACATTCGAGGATACGATTGTTGAAAGCTTACTTGACGCCACAAAAGATACAACGTCTCTATAAAAATTATATTGTATGTACGATACATAAATTTTGTGTCCTCGATATCTCAATACAGTTATCAATCTCAATCATTGTATCAGCTTTCTGGCAGTTTCATCAACTTTTATTCTTGTGATTGAATATTTTAATCCCATCGTATTTAGAATTATATACAAGCTATCCATCATGTAGCCAAATATGAACTGTGTTTATTACGTTAGAATGAGATGTCTTCAGAGATTAGTTTGACAATAAACTGCATATGTCAAAGACGTCAGTGTTCATTATGTTGAATGATGTCCCGAATCGCCATTGCCCTGAAAATTGATCGAACTGCCGTTGAAATTGCCGTCGTCAGTGGTTTAAAGTCTTGTAATAGTAAACTCTAGTTCGGCCATGTTGATTTGATTATATGGGTGGCATCCTCTGGGAACTCGAAAACTGATACGAGCGTGCGAATAAAAAAAAGTGGTCAAGAAAAAGTTGACTTCATCATGAAATCAGCGTGGCCATGAAGGTTGAACTAATGACTAAACACAGTATGGTGTGGTGAATAATAATAGACTCTTCATTTCATTTTTTCGCATTTTCTTCTTTTTCTGAATTGATTTCAGCATTCTATGACATTAGTATATTTTCCAATACTTTTTTTGCAACGTACGACATAGTTTTGCTCATTTTGTACGATTTACAGTATGGTCGAAAACGTTTTTTTGGAAAGGGACGCGCGCGCGGATGTCATCCATATAATCAAATCAACATGGCCTTAGTTAAGTAATGTTGGGGGCAGCAACAGATGCCAGAACGGGAGCCTGCGTCATAGTTGGGAAATTGATCTAACTACAAATTGCTTTCGACAGTTGCTCGAAGTTTTGGCGTGTGTCTAGATGTTCAAGTCTTGTAACAGTAAACTGTACTTTGGTAAGCAACGTCGGGACAGTAACAGGTGTCTGAAGATCTAGAGAAGACTGCGTCAGTGTTTTAAAATTGACTGAACTTAACTACAAATTACGTTTGTCGGTGGCTGACAGTTTTGGCGTGTAACTAGATATGCAAGACTACATTGTAGTGAGGTAATTATATAAGTGGTTACAAAAGCCAGAACATGATGGATGTCTTTTCTGTTTCAAAATGAAAACATCCTATACTGGCAAATAGCCTTTGATCTGAATAGAAACAGAGGCCGGATACAATGAACCACAGTGTCAGATGTAGTTACACTCACCGCGCGAGAACGAACAGGTGCATCTGTGTGGGAGTAAGGTGTACGGAAAGATTGAGGTGGGCAGCTCACACGGAGCAAAACACGAAAGCTACCAAGATATTTGATTGGAAATCACACGAGGGTAGGAGAAATAGAGACAAGCAGGGTAATCTAGCGAACAGAAAAATGTGATGTTACATGTATGTCATACTTAGTAACATTAAGAACATAGGATACAAGGATAAAAGAATAACGTAAGAGTCTTGGGAACTACTAGAAAGTACATTCTATCTAACCTAGGTCTTGAAGACTTCTTCTCTCTTTTTAAAGCAACTGGAGATGAATTCACATAGTTTTTCTATTCTTTTTATATTCCAACATTTCATGACAACACATGGTGACAGCACACTCAAGTTATATCAGCTTATTCTATGCAGCCACCAACGCAGAGGACGAATACAGGACAAGACAATACTCATTTTCGCTTGAGCTAAGTGAGGAAAGTCGTGTAAAGTGCGTTTTCCAAGGGCACAAGATCGGTGGCAAGCCAGGACTCGAACTCGGGACATCATGGTTCCGAGTCGAGCACGCTGTCGCTACCCCACAATATTTTTTTCTATTGTGAATTAGTAAGTTCCAAAAACTCACCCGTATGATGTAGAAGACGGCCTTGCAGGCGAACGCGCCGAAGATCCATGACGGTCCGAGGGCGAAGGAGATGGCGACGAACGGCACGCAGCACACCAGGAACGCCAGGTCAGTGATGGCCAGGTTCACGATGTAGTAGTTAGTCACCGTCTTCATGTCGCTGGACTTACTCACCACCATGATCACCAGGATGTTCCCAACCATTCCTGTGTGTGAATAACAAGGTAAAGGCACTTGAAATGTTGCACAGGTAAGTAAAACATGGTAACTACTATTCTATTATACTATGCTATGCTATGCTATGCTATACTATACTATGTTATGCTATACTATACTATAATATGCTATACTATACTATACTTTACTATACTATACTATACTATGCTATGCTATGCTATGCTATACTATACTATACTATACTATACTATGCTATGCTATGCTATGCTATACTATGCTATGCTATACTATGCTATGCTATACTATACTACACTATACTATACTATACTATACTATACTATACTATACTATACTATCTATACTATCTATACTATCTATACTATACTATACTATACTATACTATACTATACTATACTATACTATACTATACTATACTATCTATACTATACTATACTATATTATACTATACTATACTATACTATCTATACTATACTATACTATACTATACTATACTATACTATACTATACTATACAATACTATACTATACTATGCTATACTATACTATACTATACTATACTATCTATACTATACTAAACTATACTATGCTATGCTATGCTATGCTATGCTAGGCTAGGCTAGGCTATGCCATGCTATGCTATGCTATGCTATGCTATACTATACTATACTATACTATACTATACTATACTATACTATACTATACTATACTATGCTATTTGTTGGTTTTACTTCTCAGGGGGCAGTGGGAGATGAATTGTCCGACTCTGAAAAATGAATGGGTTGGGAGACTTAAGCTGTAATATAGTCTTCTTTTTAAAGATAACGGTAGACCCATAGCCTGCTATGTGCTGCATGCAGAGGCAGTGGGTTGTTGATGATCCACTGTATCTAATGGACTCTCGTTCCTCGCTCGACTTTTACATCGGCAGCTTAAGTCAGGTACTGATTTTACACCTCAGTGGCACGAGGAAAGTCATGTGAAGTGCCTTTCCCAAGGACACTCCATCTAGCCAGGCACCATAGGGATCGAACTTGCGCTCTTTCGATCACGTGTCATATGGCTTAGCCACTGGGCCATTCCATACCTACTAAGCCCGGTAGCAAAGTTACCAGATTACACTGTGTCAGAACTTACAGACGGAAATCTACTAACACAGGTGAACTTTGAAACTTAATGTTTAAGCTTAACACAAACAGTGCGTGCAATGCATTCAGTAAATGTCATTTCTGAAGGCGCTGCTTGTCAGCCTTATCTTGTCTCTCAGGTGCACAGCTTACCAGATTCCTGAGAGATACTGTCCTTTACTGAAATCTATATTCCCATTTTAATGCATCTTTACTGTCTTAAACATACATGTTGTGAAGGAAAGGAGCCCACATTGCACCACATACATGCTGTACATATTATATATGTTATACACTCATACGTAGGGACAGTATTGTATCCAGAACCAAGCCTATAGTTCCATGGATTATGATAAGGTTCTGGATAGTCTTTGATATCCAAGAGCGTAGATTTGCTCTAGCCACGGTTGAACTACCCAGAACCAAGATAGATATGCTTTTGAATAAAGCACGGTTGGTTATCCATTAATGCCCACGATCATGATAATGATCATTCTGGCATACTCATTTTCACCTGAGCGAGGTGAGGAAAGTCGTGTGAAGTGCTTTTCCCAAGGGCATAAGATCGGTGGCATGGCAGGATTCGAACCCGGAACCTCTTGGTTCTGAGCCGAATGCTCTGCCGTTACGCCACATATACAGTTACTGTACATATAGAACAGACATTGTGATGAACTGTTAGTTAAGTTAACGTTAGACGTGATACTAAACGGTTTGTATTAGATTAGCGCCTACAAAACATGTTCTTCCTTACCATTCATTATCATTCATTACCATAATCACCGTGTTGCCATTTCCACCCATTTGCTGTTCCCTGTTGTTTTTGTCATGTATGTTGTCGCTGTATACCTGTATGTCTGGTGGTGAGGTTAAAATTAGCTACAGCTAGAGTACCTCACCACCATGTCCTGTATTATACATGTCGATTTGCAAATAAGAAAAACCTTTAGACGTACCGACAAGGCAGATGAGACCGTAGACGACGGGGATGACCTGGCGCTCCACGGCGAAGACGACAGGCGGCGCCCGGGGAGCGGGGTCGCTCGGTCCCCAGGTCTCATTGGACGGGCCCGGCGACAGGGAGTCGAAGGTGGCGTTGTAGAAGTCTGTCAGGTTCGATTCCTCCATCATCAGGACGCCTGCCGTAGACATGGCGGCGGGCTTAAGACCCTCGTCCTAGATCAAATCAGATCAAGTCAGAAATAAGCTGTACGTTGATACACGAACATGAAGTACAAATGATATAATGTGGCGTTGTAGAAGTCTGTCAGGTTCGATTCCTACATTGGGACGTCTAGGGTAGACATCGCGCGGTGGATGAAAAACGGGGGTAATTCAACCAGGCCGGCTATGCTGGCTATATGCAATCAGAAAATACCACATAAAAGCTCCCAAAGACCCTGAAGACCCGCAAGACCCCCAGTTTTTGGCATGCTATGGCGACTAATAATGTGGTGTTGTAGACGTCTGTCAGGTAAATTGCTTCCTCCATTGGAACGTCTACTGTAGAAATCGCGGCGGGCTAAAAACGCTCAGAGGTGAAGACCCTGGTCCTGGATCAAATCAGATCAAGTCATGTTGTCTATATGCAAGCATAAAATAGCACATAAAAGCTCCCAAAAACCCTGAAGACCCCCTCAAACCCCAGCTTTTGGCATGCTGTGGAGGCTAATTATGTGGCGTTGTAGAAGTCTGTCAGGTTTTCTTCCTACATTGGAACGTCTACTGTAGACAAGGTGGCGGACTGAAGCCACTCCGAGAAGAAGACCCTGGTCCTAGATCAAATCAGGTCAAGTCAGAAATAAGCCGTTCGGGAGGCGGTTGGAAAGAGTAGAAATTGGCCAAATGGATTTAGCATGCAAAGGGAGTTGGTCCGCTAGAGAGAACATTTTACCGCACCCAATTTAGAAATAAGCTGTACGTTGATAGCCTATACCGAGCTGGAAAGAGTAGAAATTGGCCAAGAAGGCAAAAATGGAGAAAGCATGCCAAGGAAGTTGGTCCGCTAGAGAGTGCAGTTTGCTGCACCCAATTTCTACTCTTTCCAGCCGCCTCCCGAAGCCTGCTAGAAGTTAGTACGTTGATGCAATTACAAATGATACAAACGTAACCACAGAAAGCTAGCCAAATTGTCGCGGACTCATTCACATTTCTCGCACACTGTAAAATGTGATAACACTTACCGAATCCACACAGGGTAATCTTGCGTGATCTCCCCACCACCGACCTAACGTTTCAGGTCGACTGAAGAAACCCCTTTGCCGTACAGACGTGGTTTTATATACGCGAAGGGGTCACCTGTTCATTTGACTATTCTAATCATCATCACCAGGCTGCCTATGTGGGTGGCATGTGTGCGGTGCCTACTCCAATAGTACCGTCAAACCAATCATCCCAGGTTTTACACCGCGGTGTAGTATTGCCCTGCGTCATTCCTAATGTATTCTGCTCTCGAAGGGACCATTCCGTCTTCCGCCTGACTGCTTCAAGGTTCGGTGTAAAGCTATTTTGCGTCGTTCGAGTATGTATGGTGAAGCTGTCTTATTGCGTTTACCTTGAAATTCGCAGAAGGAAAACATAATTGTTTTTGCTCAGTTTCTTCCTCTTCTTCTTCTCCAATTCTCCAAATAAGGTCAATGACCCAAATATTCTCCAACTAAGGTCAATGACCTGGACCAGAGTCTGTCACCATGGTAACTGGAGTACTGTAGCAGACACCCTGTGGTGTTGGGTTACATTATGTAGCATGACAGAGCTAGAGTAACTTGACAAGAGTATAGATAATTCTACATTTACCTGAATTACATGTTTTAATAGAGTTATTTTACCATAGGGTGATTTTACATTGGGTTAACACCTATGTGGTCTGTATAGCTTAGAGCGTGCACACAGACCCCAAACCTAATGATAGATTTTTATGGTCATAGCGTCATCATTGGTACATGGTAGCACGATCACAGGGGGCACTGTTATATGGTCCGTCCATTAGACTTCAAAGCAGCAGCTTCGTCATCTCTTGTGCCCAAGAGGAATAGTGCTAAATATGTTTTACACAAAATCGTCTTTGTACTTGCGATGTTTTTCATTGCCTTTTAAAGTTGTCTTTTTACAACTGTACATTAGACGACAAACGAAATACACCACAATTTCGCTATTGTAATGGCTTTCTTTGCTGATAGCTGTGACTATTCTCTCTTCCTCCTATGCATGTTTACCTGGTGTGACCATCTTGAAACAGGTTTCTGGATTTCAAACCCTGCATTTCAGAGAAGTGGCCATTGGCCCGGAAACCTTGTTATCGTAAAACAACTTATAATCACATACCCAGGGAATAACTACCACAGTGGAAACGATCTGTGCCACATAATTACGGGCTCTAGCCATTTCCTTCCTATTTAGATAACAGAAGACATGTCTGACCCAGAGGATTTCAGATAGCTTTCTCTCTGATAGCATAGTGCTAGCGTCTGTAGGGGTCATCAACTACATGGCGTCATAAGTGCTTTTGTCTATTAAGAGATAAGTTATTTGAAATGGTCACCGAAATGTTCCCTAGCTTTACTCACCTTCCCAGCCTAAAAATGCATTTCTATTGACACCTCCCAATTCACACATCTCGCAAAATGTCGGTCATTTCATACTCAACTGCACACAGAATACAGGAAAGAAATCAAGCCCAACAATAACTATAATATAGTCTGGATATAGTCTATATCCAAAGTAGCATTAGCATTACTTATTATCATTTTTACTATTCATTTTGTTATCAAGTTCTTGCAATTAGCCCTCGGGCATGAATTTACAATAAACCTTTTATCTATTAGCGAAAAAGAGTTGGCTTACGTGACGTGTAGAATAAAACTGTGTAAAAGCAAAGCCACGCAGTCCTCATTGACAGCTAAATATTTCATCTGTGATCTTTTCAAACAAACTTTTACACTTATTTTGGCGTGATCATGATTACAGAAGAAAAGTTTCTACGCTTTGCAGAACTTTAGTTGTGCGTAACAATGTAATCCTTCCTTTGTACTATAAAACTTAACATGCCTACAACAATTAAGAAAGATCCTCATTCTTAGCTTCTAAGGGGGTGGATTTAATGTATGCCAAAGGTAACCATTACACAAGCTTTGAAGAAGTGGGTCAATAAGATTTCAATTAATTGTTCAACTGAAAACTCATAATCACATACCTTGGGAATAAATAACCACAGTGGAGACAACCTTTCATCTGAACTACATGGTTATTGGCTCTTGTTATTTTTTTCCTATTTAGCTAACAGGTGACAGGTCATAAACTACACAGTATGAAACGTGATTTTATCTATTGGGCCACACCAAGTAAATTTTATGGATGACGTCCTTTGGAGACCCTAAATCTAATGCGAGAGGGCGAAAAAAAACAAGAAGGGCCCTAAAAAACAAGATGCCTAGATTAGAAATATACTAAGAGACAACAAATGTTAGGGCACAAATTGAATGAGGTGACACAGTGTAACAAGCAAGAAGTCTTTTATTCGTCATCAAAACAGCAATAAATCAGGTGGAACAGCAGTTGTCGTCCTGTCCTGTTTTCGCGTTACGGGTTTCACGTCAATCTGCCGATTTGCGGCACTGTCGTGACTCTTTGGTCATAGTTACAGGAAGCGGAATTTCTTGCTTTTTTTTCTACGAACAGGCCAAAATCAATGCGCACGCGGACGTCATCCATAAAATTTACTTGGTGTGGCCTTGTCCAATAGTATTGATCAGTGACATTCAAATAATAAATCTTACACAGAAGTTTACAATGAAAGTCATGCAATGCTCATTGAAAATTGTAGATTTTAAGTATATTAAGGGTATCTAATACAAGGCCGGAAAAGTGCCGTGGTCTTTTCAAAGGTCTTTTTTTTTTACTTATATGGGCTTGAATATGGAAGGAAAAGTTACCATACCTACAGCAATTATAAGATCCTCATTTAAAGCATCCTCCGAGGGGGGTGGATTTAACGTATACCAACGATAACCGTTACATGGACTTTGAAGAACTATGGTCAGCAAGGTCAAACATGGTAAAAAGCTGAAAACTTTTAATCACATACCTAGGGACTGTGAAGAACTGTGGTCACCGAGGTTTTGATTAAGTTGTTTTGATTATATAATTGTGTGAGCGCGAGTACTAGTGTTGAATGAAAACTTAGCTTGCCTGAAACAATGCTACAATGCTATTTCTAAACTTTATACTGTGTGACATTGGTTGCAAAAATTGTGAAACCTTGACAAATTTTCGACTGTATAACTCCAGTCTTTGTCAAGGAATGAGTAATCCACCGCTTCCACGTCACGCAGATAACACACGTGACTCCGTGAGCAGTGTATCATAGGTTGCTGAAAGTCTGTGGCGCCCCCGTCTCTGTTGAGGGATTGTTGCAATGCCCTGATGTAGATGTCCTCTTTAACCCCTCGTGCAAAGAAGTCAAGGTGTATAAATGGGATGGTGTGACCATGGAAAAGGCTCTAAAGTGTTAGTAAATGTTAAATGACAATGCAAACGGCTCTTTTTGCGGCAAATTTGATAAATGAAGCTATTGACAAGTGCAACAGTCCGTTGCAGTCCTAAGCCGAACCCTACAAGGTAAAGTACTAAAGCTTTTTATTTATGGAACAGAGATAACATTGAAGTGCTGCAATCAAGTGGGGAAATGAAAGTCTCTTGAAGCTTAAGTGTGTTGATGGCCTTGAGCAGTAAACAGCACTTAGGAGTGGGTTGTAACATATAAGGCTTAATAAGGCGTGATGTGGTTTCTCAAATAGCCGAGACGACCTTATCTTGGAAGTTCATCTGTGTTGGTGGAAGTCATTATGAAACAAGATTGAACTGTAATTGCCAACACAGAAAAATGAACTCACCCAAATTTTCGACTGTACAACTACAGTCTTTGTCAAGGAATGAGCAATCCACCACTTCCATGACGTCACGCAGGTAACACACGTGACTCCGTGAGCAGTGGATCATAGGTTGCGGAAAGTCTGTGGCGCCCCCCGTCTCTGTTGACGGATGGTTGTAATACCCTGATGTAGATGGCCTCTTTAACCCCTCGTGCAAAAACGTCCAAGTGTATAAATGGAATGGTGTGACCGTGGGAAAGGCGTTAGTAAATGTTAAATGAC